ATTGATGCTATAAAGAATAAAAATGGCCCTTAAAAATCAAAACAGCTTTGCAATACTGACCTTCAGTCTGGAGCTGTTCATTGCAGTAACTCATTTTTCACCACTAAGGGGGTTATTCACAAAGCTTCCAAAGGCAGCCGAGTGAATGACCAACCCGAAGTGAACTGAGCCGAACGACATTCGGCTATTCACTTCAGCTCAGTACAGGGGATTTCTCATAGGGGCCGAACAGCACTGAATGAATAGCCGAATGCCACTGAGCGGCATTCGGCTCGGCTATTCTGCTCGCTAACTTCGAGTCAGCAAGCAGAATAGAAACAAATGGAAAAAAAAAATTAAAAATTATTTTAATACATTTCAAAAAAATAAAAAAAAGTTAAGAAAATAATAAAAAAATTTAAAGAAAAAAAAAACTAGTGTGGGGTCCCCCTCCCAAACCATACCAAACCCTTTAGGTCTGATAAGAAAGTTAGGAGGCACCCCCTATTTAAAAAAAAAAGGAAACAAAAGTGTGGTGGTTCCCCCCAAAAGTCATACTATGCCCTATTGGTCTGGTCGTAATTTTAGGAGGGACCCCAAGTTGAAAAAAAAAAGTCTGTGGGGTTCCCCCCCAAAGTCATATCAGGCCCTTCAGGTCTGTTGGAATTTTAAGGAGGAACCCCACCCCGGATAATGGGGAAGCAACACGAGGGGTCCCTCCTAAAATAGTTAGGGTATTTAAATGCATTTTTAAATCTAACTCCTGTGTTTGGTATCACTTTAAACTGAACCTATACTGTGAAAGCTGTGCTGAAAACGGTAAGCCGAGGAAAAAGGGCAAATCACAAGTATTGCCTGTAGATTCTTTTTCAATTAGTGACTTACTATGGATTGTTCTGCAATGTGTATGTGTGTGGAGCTGGCTATTTTGGTAGAGGAGCAGGGCTTTGCTTCCTCATGTCATAGCTTTCCCCCTGATAACTGGTCAGATTATGACTGATGGGAGGAATGATCAAGAAGCAGAAGGAGAGGTAAAGCAAGCACAGATGTACAGACAGGGCTGGCCTTAGGGGTGTGCAAGCTGTGCGGCCGCACAGGACGCCATGGCAACAAGGGCGCCGTGCGGCTGACACAGCTCGTCCTGGGCGCAGGAGGGAGCGCTGCCTGCTGTCAGGATGGCGGAGCGGTGAGGGGGAGAGAAGCCGCGCCCGCAGCTGTCAGGATGGCTGAGCGGGTAGGAGATCAAAGCCGCTGTCATCCTGTCAGTTTCAGGATGACAGCGGCTCTGTGCGTGGCAGAGCGGGAGATCGGTAAATATAATTGATATTTACCGATCCTCCGTGTGAGAAGGACTAACACTGGAGCGATCGTCTGATCACTCCGGTGTTTGTAAATAACTGGGGGCACATAATACTTTGTGTCCCCAGTTATGAATGAACAGGATGTGATTTACATTACATCCTGTTTATTCAAGATTTCGTCAATTGGGAGAAGCACTCAGTACAGAGGCTCCTCCCCATTCAGAACCTGCTGGTAGTAAATATTTGAATGGGAAGCCTCTGTACTGAGAGCTGCTGAAAAAGAAATTGAGGATTTGGTGTCCTCCATTTCTTTTCTATTTTAAAAGGGAAATGTCAGGGGTCTGTTTGGACCCCTAATATTTCCCAAAGCCCCCCCAACAGTAAAAAA